AAAATTACCGAGAAAGTTCAATAATTTTACCGAGATTTCTGGGTAAAATTACCAATTCCATAAATGGTAATTTTACCAAGAAAAAACTGGGATCAAATAGAACCCTGAATTCTTGGTAATTTTACCCTTTTCTTAGTAAATACACCGAGATGTATTTTTCAGTGTGCAGTTTCCAGATTTTATCCGCCTTCTATTAAGTCGATCCAGTGTGCGGCGAGGCTTATCAAAGAGGCGGGGGGTGTCGGGGGCTCGGAAATTAGTTGGTGAAGTGGGCCGAGAAATTTGACATATTTTCCGCCCTCTCGCCGGGTTTCTCAACCCCCCACCCCCCTCGCCCGATCTTCGGCGCGGCGAGTCATTCCAAGCTGTTCCTACGGCTACAGGGATACCGTAGCGTGTTCTAGGGATCTGTCGGCCGAGGTAGCAGGAATTTCGAACTTAAGTGGAGGCGCGCGGGAAACAATGCCGGTAATTCAGCGGAAAAAGCCGTCCTCGTCGCCGCACAAGGGGGGCAACGCTTCAAGTTTCTGGCACATTAACGATCTCGGATTGAAAGTGGACCACTTCTGGACATAGTAAAATTGAGGGAGATTTAACTAAGAATTTGGTTGATCAACCAAGTCCTTTTGGTTCACTGAAAAAAAATTCTCGGCGTTTTTACCAAGGTCCGTTGGTATATTTACCATCTCACTTTTTTTTACCAAATATTGGTAATTTTACAAAGACAGACTGGTAAGCTTTCCTAAAAACCGGTATTTTTACTGTTTTTTCAGGTAAGAATACCACTTATATTGGTATTCAATTCACGGTAACTTTGCCATTTTATCTCGATAATTCTACCACAGTCGATAAAAAATATTGGCGTTTTTACCAAGGTCCAGTAAAATTACCGAGAAAGTCAAAAATTTTACCAAAATTTCTCGGTAAAATTACCAATTCCATAAATGGCAATTTTACCAAGAAAAAACTGGGATCAAATAGAACCCTGAATTCTTGGTAATTTTACCCTTTTCTTAGTAAATACACCGAGATTTTTTTTTCAGTGTTGAACTGATCGAAAATAAGTAACTTATAAAGTAAAGCCGCAAATCCCTAGACCCGGAAGAGATTGTTGTGAAATGACTACATGTTAAATTATGAAGCGTTATTAGCGTATTACCAAGGAAAATTATGAATATTTTATTGAGAGAATTAAGTACGATAGAAAGGACTTGCCAGAAGTAAAAAGGTAAGTAAGAGTAAAATAGAAGTAAAGTGTTGCATAAGTGTATCAGCTGAGCTGCTAACCTAATTTTCAGTACGAGACAGTTACTTTTACTTCTAGCAAGCCCTTTCTATTGTACTTAATTCTCCCAATAAAATATTAGTAATTTTCGTTGGTAATACGCTAATAACGATTTATAATTTAACACTACATATTCTCCCCTTCTGGACGTGGTCTCTGATTGCAAAACCGTAATTGTAACATATCTGTAACCGTAAACACTGGGATTTTTTACTATGACTGTACAGTAAAGGATTTGAGTTTGTTTTTAAAGTGCTATGAGATTAAAGTGTCGAGAAAGGGAACGAAATTGTTCCCAAGGACTTAGCTCCTCGCGGATCGGCTCATTTTAATATGCGCACTCAGTTTCAGGACATTTCGTCGATGATTTTTTGTCTGCACGCCTGTCTTCAGTAGTTCATCTCCAAGCGTAATATAAGCAACAGGGGCTTGGCCCAAGCGTTATATTTTAGTCCGTATGTAAAATTATGTTGACAATATCGAATTGAGAAAATTGAGAGAGAAGGAAATGTTGTTGTTATAACTCATTTTTTAAATGAAATGTTACTATCTCTTCCTTTGATTCATCTTTTCAAATTGTCATTGATGAATACTTGGTTTTATTTCTATCCTTAACATTTCCGATGTAAAATATACCTTATATATACCACTTTTTTAATAAAAATATTACTTCATTTTAAAAATCATTTACAGTTTTAAACGTGGTAAACATTTGTAAAACCTTTTCCAAGCGATGACATCGATGTTGTTGTGTTGCGTTGTAGTTGTGTTGAAAGAACCTATACCAAAATTAATGGAAGAGGGAAAAAACCAAAGAGCACGCAATCATTTGTTTCTATCCATTTGTATACAACGATCTTTTAGGGTCAAGTGCGTCCAATTTTGAGCGTTTGGTTGCGCGTGCACCACGCTGCAGCACAGTAAAAGCCCAAAATATGAAGCAGAAAAATTCAGTGTTTAAAAAATAATTAAATTTGACACGGATCCACTTAATATTTACAGAGCAAACATTACATTTACCTTTAATACATATTTCTTTTTCATCAATTTAAATGAGACTAATCCATGCGGAGTGTGCACTGTGCAATCATTTCAAAATCATGAGTTGAAGAACACTGACTCCGCGAGTTTAAATATTAGAGCCTAACGCAGAGCGGAACGGTGTGCTGCCAGCGCGACAGGCATATCGGCGCCTACAAACCTAAGTGGATACTTCACGCATTACGCAATGCGTGAGGTATCCCTGTTAGATTTGAAGGCGCCAATGCGCGTGTCACGCTGGTCGCCGCCGTTGCCCGCCGCGGCACGGCGTTTCAAGCAACTATTTCACCACAGAGGTGTTGCACGGTATCATACGAAATTGAAGGCGCTCCAACATTTTAAGAATGACAGACATCCTTTAAGAGTATGGAGCTTTCCTCTCGCAAGATAAATCTAGATACTAAGGCATAAAAAGAGAGTGGTAGTCTAAAAACTCACCAAGTCCTAGCATCATAACGTTTAGCATAATTTTTGAATTTTTTTAGAGAAAAAAGTGACTCGATCTAGGCAGAAACATCCTTGAGTATGCCGTCAAGAAAATTGTATTTTGAATCAAGAATAAACTAGCTGAATGAAAGCGGGCTCCTTGATGTGACTTATCTTTTCATATAAGCATATTTTCTTCCTTAAACAAGCATTATTCCATTTATATGTTATAAGGAAATCTACTCGGCGGTAAATTTCAGCATTTTTCTGCTTGAATCAAGTCACTTCTTCCTCTGATGAAGTTCCAAAATCTTGCTAAACGTAATTGAACATAGACACTTGGACTTGGTGAGTTTTTCGACTACCGCGCTCTCTTTTTGTCGTCGTTACTCGATTTAATTTGCGAGGGAACTTTGTGCTTTTGAAAATATTTCACAGCCTCGTGAAATATATCACTGAAATTTCCAATCTTTCATTTCCCTCTCACGTTTCATGCCACCCTGGACCCTTTAATTAATCCATAATGGAGATGTAGCATGTGTGAGGAATTTGCGCATCGACTGTCGATTCTTACGTAAAAGTTCGCTAGAAACACGATGGTGCCACTGGTTTTCTCTGAAATCAACTCCCAAGCTCAAAAAAAGCTCTCAAGTTGAGGGCGTAATGGAGGGGATATCCCACGCTATCCTGAGAGCTCATCTCTACATCAAGACAAACTCTCCATGCCAAGATAGGGAGCAAATACTTTGACAGGGCTGCCACTTTATTTGGGGAGCCTAAAACTGGAAACACTGCAACCCTGCTAATGTATTTGCTCCCTATCTTTGCATGGAGAGTTTAGTTTGTCTTGATGTAGAGGTGAACTCTCAGGATAGCGTGGGATATCCCCTCCGTTTTGGCCTCAACTTGAGAACTTTTTTTGAGCTTGGGAGTCAATTTCGGAGAAAACCAGTGGGACCATAGTGTTTCTCGCGAACTTTTACATATGAATCAATAGTCAAATCGCAAATTTCTCACACATGCAACATCTCCATTAGTCCATGATAGCTGGCTGTTTCATCCAATAGGATAGCTCCGTTTTTCGTGTCCATCGCTATTTCTATACGAATCACTTTTTCCTCGGACCTTGACTCGTGTGCGGGGAGAAATGGTTTCGCGCTGACGCTCGGCCCCCGTTTTCCGCTCCTACTTGTTGCCACTCCATGATTAATGCCCGCCACTTCAGCGCCCTTCGCCCCCCTCCCCCGCGTTAGCTTTAAAAATTATCTCCGAGTGCCCCCTCCCCCCTCCCACGGCGCGCCCAAGAAAAACGAAAAAAGCTTTTCATTCGCCCACGTCCGGGTCCGGGCGCCGCCGCACAGCGGATCCAGTCGACGAGAGAGCTTGAACAAAATTTGGATACTTTAAACGCTTATAGCTCCGTTTATACTAAACTTTGATGCTCTAAAAGTGGTTTCGCCGGTTTCCTCGTAAAATTTGCTTTCGAAAGCACCCCTTGTATTTTAAAATGTGACGAAATGAACGTCAAAATTTACAGTTTTAGTAAACAAAATCATGTCCGAGCTCTCTAATTGACTCGATCCACTGTGCGCCGTTTCATTTCGCCGGATTCAGGCGTGCATTCCGCCCTTCCGACTCAGTTCACTCCCGCACCCTGTCCAAATTTTCCCGCCCTTCTCCCCGCCCCGAGCACATTACGTTTCTTTGCGATTTGCTAATTTCGCGGCCGTTTGATTTGTCACGAACTGCACACTTTAAGGTGATTCGACGGACGCCATATTTTGAGTCAGAACGACTTGCGATACATCGCATCGATTGGTTCCAATGGTCATCTGGCGGCATTTTCCATTTAAACACGTGTGTCTCAGCAGATTAGGTTATTTTGTCATATTTCCTCCAATAATTGGACGTATTTCTATCAAACGGAACTATGTGCATAATGACGTGAGCCCTGTTATGCATATATTCTTATGGGTCTCAGGGCTCATGTCTTAATGCACATAGTTCCGTTTGATAGAAATACGTCCAATTGTTCAATTTAGAAAGCAATCCTCGAGCTCAGTTTTCCTAGTAGTATCATTTTAACGATGAAATTCACAACATTTCAGACACTTGCAAATTCTCTATTATTCGTGATATGTGTGTATATTTTTGTCGTTTCCTTTGCCTTTGATCCGACCGAGAAAATGTAACTCAAAGGACGGGTATTGTAGCCGCGTGGTGAAACTCGTTGATTTTTCTGTTGCAGGAACAATGCACACATGGAGCCTGGACGTGGTGCCGCTGCTGGTGCACCTGCTGTGCGCGACGGTGTGGGCGTACCCGCGGGGCGGTCCCGGCGGAGGGGGCGGGGCCGCGAAGGGCTACCCGGTGGGCGGGCTGCCCCTCCCCCTCTCGGCGGAGGACTCGGTGGCCCCGCAGGAGCCGAGCTGCGACGAGCTGCGCACCATGTGGCGGCTCTCCAAGCGGCAGGCCCGCGCCGCCGAGATCACCAACACCATCCCCGGCTTCAAGGACCCGTTCGCCTACAACGAGTGGGAGGCGCCTGCCGCGGGGGCGGGGCCCGGGGCTCCGCACGACCCCGCCTCTGGGCCGCAGCTCCGCCTCGCCGTCGGGCGCCCCGTCTACTACGGCAAGATGCTCTACGCCCCCGGGCCTCAGGCCATGTCCTTCCGCAACGCCGAGAAGTCCAAGGCCTTCAGCGAGTACTTCGGCACGCCGCAGTATTTCCCGCAGCCTAATATCAAGGCCACTAAAAATCTCTTTCGACTGGGTGAGTCTTTCTTAGTATAATTAGCTGCTTCAGCCACTGGCGAATCCAGCAATTTGACAGCACCGGATTTCCTCCATTTAAACATATGGAAATGTATCGATTCTTGGAATGGCCAGGTGCTCCCACAAGAATCGATTGTTTAGCTAGGTTTAAATGGAGGAAATTCGGTGTAGCCAAATTGCTAGATCCGCCTCTGTCCTCGATGAATAAAGTAGCTAAAAGAAGAATTATGGATGAAAGCCGTTTTTGGGCCCACCCTCTAACTAAATTTCCTCAACTACACAAATTTTTATTCATGAAAGGTTATATTTCACAGGATGAATCATAATTTCGTCATTTCCGGCCTCTTTTCAGGTCTAATTTCAGGACTGCATTTTGCAATTTGGACCTATAAATCCTGGCTCTGCGGGAAAAACACTTATGTGCATAGAGAAACAAATGGAACATACTTTTTTTTTAAACCGGGCTAGAATTTATAGTTCCAAATTGCAAAATGTAGCTGAATGGGTCTAAATGCCGATATTGGCGGGAATTGCTAGTTTTGCGGGTTCGNAAGCAGAAACGTACTTATCAACGCTTATTTCATTTGTTAAACGAAAAATTTCCAACGTGGAAGCCAGAAAGTTTCTGTTTAGATTTTGAGATTGCTGTCATATCCGTTTTGTCAAATTTATATCCTGACGCAAAATTGCACGGGTGTAACTTTCATTTTAACCAGTTAATTTGGAGGAAAGTTCAGGAATTGGGTCGCAGCGTTGAGTATAAAGTAAGTACACTATGTTAAATAGCTCATTCCTTGTATACCACGTTTTATTCATGTTTGTTCTGTGCATTGTTGCCAAACTTTCCATACTCTGAATAATAAATCAGAAACCGGCCGAATCCCCACGAAAAATCCGACCGGCCGAATCCCCACCGGCCGAATCCCCACCTAATCCTTGATGTAGCTCGCTCAGGATAGCATGGGATATTCCATCCATTTTGGCCTCAGCTTGAGAGCTTTTTTGAGCTTGGGAGTTGATTTCAGAGAAAACCAGGGGGACCATCGTGTTTCTGGCAAACTTTCACGTAAGAATCAACAGTCAAATCGCAAATTCCTCACTCATGCATCATCTCCATTAGCTTCTTCAGCCACTGGCGCGAATCCAGCAATTTGACAACACCGGATTTACTCCATTTAAACACATGGAAATGTATCGATCTTTGGAATGGCCAGGTGCTCCCACAAGAATCGATTGCGTCTAGCTAGGTTTAAATGGGAGAAATTCGGTGCAGCCAAATTGCTGGATCCGCCTCTGTCCTTATTGAATAAAGTAGCTGAAAGGAGAATTATCGATAAAAGTCGTTTTTGGGCCCACCTTCTAATTAAATTTCCTCAACTACACGAATTTTTACTCATGAGAGGTTATACTTTACAGGATGAATCACAATTCCGTCATTTCCGGCCTATTCTCAGGTCTAATTGGATCTACATTTTGCAATTTGGAACTCTGGCTCTTCTGTAAAAGAAAAAAAAAACTTATGTGCTTAGGGAAACTAATGGCGCATACGTTGTTTTTAAACCGGAATAGAATTTATCGTTCCGAATTGCAAAATGTAGTCGAATTCTGGCTACATGGGTCTAAATGCCGATTTCGGCGGGAATTGCTAGTTTTGCGGGTTCGCGGTCGAATGTCTAAATATCCGCATTTTGAGCCAAAATCGGGATCCTGGCTCATTTTTTTGCATGTATTAGATCTAAGAAGAGACCAAACACGACCAAATTATGATGTATTCCGTGAAATATAGACGTACAGTTGAGGAAATTCAATTAGAGCATGGGCTCATATTTCTCGAATTTCAAAGACTAAGCGATAAGCAAAGAAGACAAACAGAAAATAAAGAGATCTTAATGGTTGAATCGGGTGGTTCTCATAGACGAAGGGAAAAAATGATGGACTAACTAAAGGATCTCTTCTGCAGAATGCATTTTCGGAAACAATCCATCATCAGCAAATACAATGAATATTACTTCAGAGGAATTTTTCCTCTCCGGAGACGAAAGTTTTCCCTCCGAAGGCGAACGTGGAATGAAGAGCGTGGTTCCTCGCAGAATCGTGGTTTGAGGGTTCCCTCTTTAAAATTACTTATAGTGCTTAGGAATGATACATTCCTCTCTTAAGCACAAATTAGTTGCCCAGGAGAGAAGCAATTTCTCTCCTCTGCATTGAGCAGTCGTTTTCAAGAGAAATTTTTTCCCTCTGGAACAACTAGTTTGTGCTATGAGGAGTGGAATAAGCACTGGCTAGTTGCTTAGAGGAGAAAACATTTTTCTGCTTCGCACTCAGTAGGTGTTTGGGGCGGATACGTTTTCTTTCCTCATGGACCTGTTGCTTCTTGATACATACTCAGGTTCCTACCAGGGATCGGAGGTTTCGAACCACAGGGCAAATGTTTCTACTCCAGATATAAAAGTAGCTGTTAGTTAACAAAATATTGCTGTGTTACACAGAAGAGTAATTGTTCGACAAGAGAGGAATTTTGCCACCTGTATTATCGCACAGAGATACACTCATTGTAATTTCTGATGATGGATTGTATCCGAAAATGCATTAAAGATTTTTAATTGGACGTATTTGTGTTAAACGGAACTAAGCGCCATATTGAGTTCCTTTTGAGGATTTTACAATCCCGGATAGCGCTTTCTGTCAAACGGAACTAAGCCTAAGCGCCATGGGAAAGCATTGCGAGTATAGGACGGAACGAACATCGCGTTCCGCAACACTCGCCAATCCAAGCCCCCCTCTCCCTTCCTCCCGCGATGGCGCCTGGTTCCGTTTGATGAAAATACGTCCGAATGTATAAAATCATCACCATCTTTGGTCTATTAAACAAGTTGCCCGGTAGACAAATACTTAGTTAGTTAGTGTATTACCACTTCCGTGCGTTGCAACTACCCGCTTCCACCAATAGAATCCCAATCCAATATGCGCTCTCCATATCACACTCGCAAGTTTCCGTGATACCACTATTTGATCTCCGGCGTGTTGCGGAGTATCATCGTTGTTTGAAGGCGTTTTGAAAAACCGAGGAAAGATACATTCGAGATTCGGGTGCTTGTACAACATTCTCTCTAACAAAAACGAACCTAGTGACATTCAGACTGAACTGCGAGCTAATTATTGACATTGATGATAGACAAAGCGATAGACAAAGACGACAAAAGGACGGATCGATCCTATTGGTGAAAGCGAAATGCGATGCACGAAAAAGGTAGGTAATGAACTACCCCTAAGAAGAGATCCTTTATTTAGGACATCATTTTGTCCCTTCGTCTATAAGAACCACCTCAATACTATATAGATGCTAATATGGTGCCTAAACTTAATTCTTTGTCTATCACTTTGTGTTTGAAATTCTACAATCCGGAGATGAAGCTTTGCTAATTGGTAGGTGGAGTGTAGCCGAGTGCTAGAAATAATGTAACATTTTCTTTAAAAAACTTACATTTTATTAATAAACTTTGACCGAAGCTTATCGAAACGAGCACTTCATCGTCAGGGTCACAAAGTATAAATCACAAAGGTCATATTTAATTTCAGACACGGTAACAGATTTCAGCAGTGACAATGGAGATGATATGCATGCGTGAGGAATTTGCGATTTGACTATTGATTCTTATGTAAAAGTTTGCGAGAAACACGAGGGTGTCACTGGTTTTCTCTGAAATCAACTCCCAAGCTAAAAAAAGCTCTCAAGTTGAGGCCAAAATGGAGGGATATCCCGCGCTATCCTGAGAGTCCACCTCTACATCAAGACAAACTCTCCATGCAAAGATAGGGAGCAAATACATTAGCAGGGTTGCCGTGTTTTCAGTTTTAGAGTCCCCAAATAAAGTGGCAGCCCTGTCAATGCATTTGCTCCCTATCTTTGCATGGAGAGTTTGTCTTGATGTAGAGGCGGACTCTCAGGATATCGTGGGATATCCCCTCCATTTTGGTCTCAACTTGAGAGCTTTTTTTGGTGCTTGGGAGTTGATTTCAGAGACCCAGGGGCACCATCGTGTTTCTCGCGAACTTTTACATAAGAATCAGTAGTCAAATCGCAAATTCTTCAAACATGCAACATCTCCATTGATAACAAATTAACAGATCAAAACACTCTCCAAACGCTTCCGTCAAATTTTAAATAAAATGTAAATTTTTTTAAAGGAAATGTTACATTATTTCTAGCACTTGGCTACACTCCACCTACCAATATAGTCAGTGCTACTACCTTCTAGATATTGTGTAATACAATGTGCGCTGAACTTGGCTTTGCTAATTGTGTTCGTGGTTGTGTTCCAGGTGTGGGGGGCTCGAAGGGGGGTCCGGGGCTGATGGCCCAGTCGACGGGGAGCTTCGCGCAGCTGAAGGACCTGATCAAGAAGGAGCGGGCACGGGAGCTGTACGACCAGCGACTGCGCGAGGAAGGCAAGTCCCGGGCGCAGACGCTCAAGCAGATGGTCGCCAGCAAGTTCGGTCTCGTCGACGACCCCTACTACCGGAGCCGGGACAGCGACCCCCACCCGCCCACCTACGGCCAGGTCGTCAAGTCCGTCTCCCAACCAAGTTCCTTCGTCAACAGTAGATCCGTGAGTCCCACCACCTATTCTTAGTAGAGTAATTTCTTCAACACTGAAAAAAAAGAGCTATCGAGAAGAGAGGGTATCCGCAATGAAAAGGTGCGCGAGATAATGGGTGTGGAGAAGGACATCGTGCACGATATCAGGTCCAAGCAGTTGGTCTGGTATGGACATGTGCGAAGGACGACATACGATCAGTTGTCCAAGCAGAGTTTCGATTGAGTTCCTCCCGGAAGGTGACGGCGACAAGGGGTGGAGGACTGGAGGAGGAGATCAGAGGGTGCCAATTGCCTGATGATCTCTGGGAGGATAAGGGGCAAAGGCGGTTGGACATCGCGGAGCGCGAGGCGGCGCTGTGAAAGCGACTCAATGTATGCATATTAAAAAAAAACACCGGCGTATAATGCTGTGCTAAAGAAGAACACCGTATGAGCCTTCAGGCGTTCCCAAGTTTCCTTCAATAAAACGTCAATTTTGGATGGAAGTTATGCATATTTTTCCTTGATATTTTCAGATATTTTAGATCAGAATGCGAACAATATCGTCTAAAAAATGAGAAGAATAATATTCACAACTTTCCAAGTAAATTAGTATTTCAGCAAAGGAAATTTGGCAACATCTGAAGGTTCATGCGGCGTTTTTCCTGAGCACGGCAGTATGAAGGCTAGTACTTACGGGCTATACTGGCGTGCTAAGAAAGAATGCCGTATGAGCCTTCAGGCATTGCCAAGTTTCCTTCGATGAAAATCTAAAATGAAATGAAATGAAAATGAATGAAATGTCTAGAAACTCTTGGGGATGCATTCAGGAGGCCAAGAAACGCCTAAACACAGTGATTCTCGATGTTGATATCTTTAACTTCAAGCCTAAAACATTCACACGTTGAAAATGTTTTCGTAAAGTTTAGAAGTTAGGTTGGCGGTTTTCTCTCTAAACTCTCCTTTGTGCCCCCTCTTTGTTTATCACCTCCGTAGGGTAGCATAATACTAGCGCATCAACAGGAAGACCAGCTGAAATGCTTTCCGGACTTCCCCAGGTTTAAGGAATGATTCCGATGAAAATTAACAAATTTCAAGTTTTGTGAAATTTAGGTATCAAGACATTCCGTCAACGATTTTTTGTCTGCACGTACATCTGTCTTGTCCAGTAGTTTAACTCCAAGCGTAAAATAAGCAACAGGGGCTTGGTCCAAGCGTTATATTTTAGTCCGTATGTAAAATTATGTTGACAATACCGAAATGAGAAAATTTAGAGAGAAGGAGGTGTTGTTATTGTAACTCATCTTTTCAATGAAATGTTACTTTCTTCTTTCGATTCATCTTTTCAAATTGTCATTGGTGGATATTTGGTTGTATTTCTATTCTTAAAATTTTCGATATAAAATATACCTTATATACACCACTTTTTTAAATGCAAATATTGCTTCATTTAAAAAAAGATTGGAGATTTAAAAATGTTGACTCCGCGAGTTTAAATGTTAGAGCCAAACAGAGCGGAGCGGCACGCGCTACGCCGCGTGCTGCCAGCGCGACACGCGCATCGGCGTCTACAAACCTAACAGGGATACCTCACGCAATACGCAATGCGTGAGGTATCCCTGTTAGGTTTGTAGGCGCCAATGCGCGTGTCACTCTGGTCGCCGTTGCCCGCCGCGGCACGGCGTTTCAAGCAACTATTTCACCACAGACGTGTTGCACGGTATCATACGAAATTGAAGGCGCTCCAACATTTTAAGAATGACAGACATCCTTTAAGAGTATGGAGCTTTCCTCTCGCAAGATACATCTAGATACTAAGGCATACAAAGAGAGCGGTAGCCTAAAAACTTACCAAGTCCTAGCGTCTGTATTTAACAACGTTTAGCATAATTTTTGAATGCCATTGGAGAAAAAAGTGACTCGATTTAGGCAGGAACATCCTTGAGTATGCCGTCAAGAAGATTTTATTTTGAATCAAGAATAAACTAGCCGCATGAAAGCGGGCTCCTTGATGTGACTCCCCTTTTTATATAAGCACATTTTCTTCTTTAAATCAGCATTTTTCTCTTTATTGATTCATAAGGAAATCCTCTCGGCGGTAAATTCGAGCATTTTCCTGCTTGAATCAAGTCACCTCTTCCTCTGATGAAGTTCAAGAATCATGCTAAACGTCATTGAACACAGATACTGGGACTTGGTGAGTTTTCCGACTACCGCTCTCTTCTTGTCGTCGTTACTCGATTTAATTTGCAAGGGAACTTCGTGCTTATAAAAGTTGCTATCAATCATGTTACGGTGGGGTGCCTTCAATCCTGTATGATACTGTGCAACATCTCCGTTTCGAAATAGTATCTCGTAGTGCCGCGGCACGCCGACGCTGTCACGGAGTTATCATACACACACAGGAACAAGTTAAGAGCCTTTAGCTGAGGCAAATTGAAAGGTTTGTCCGGCACTCGAGGCACACCCCATCTTTCCCACTCGTCCATATTTCCGTTCGGCAGAAATAGTCCAATAAAGACTACCTGCTAAATTCTACTATATACTACTAAATTTTTCCGCCACAACCTTCGTGAGCTTCTTCGTTGCAAGTCCGCTAATTTACAGCGAGTTTTGACTCTTTGTTTTAGTAGCCTCTCGAAAAGGAATGGATTGCATTTTGCAAAAAGGAACCAGGATCATTAAAATGTCGCTAAGAGTATGCAACTTCATCCGTAGCAATATGAATATTGAATGTCTGAAAAAGTATGAAATTTACTTGGTAGTTTTTGTCGTAAATTACAGTTTTTAATTAGTTAGTCAGTATATTTTAAGACATTCAGCGTCACAGGCTATTAACGTCTTTACAGAGAATTTTGAAAATGGGAGTATACACGAAAATTTAGATTTTTAAATCAAGAGAGGTGAAGAGTTTTGCAAGAGAAGCAAAAACCGTTTATAGATAATCAGGTTTTTCTTCCAAGACAAAGGAAGCTGCATACCTAATCTTAGCAACATTGCAGTGCTCCTAGTTCCTTCTTGCAAAATGCAATCCAAATCATCATTTTTTATCGTAAAATCTACTTTGAAACACGTCGGACACTTTTTCAACCACAAAATTGTTAAATCAGCAATCTCATTGTTTTCCGTGTATCCCGAGTCAACAACTCCACCTCATCCTGGCGTCTGGATAGGTTTCAATTTAGCATCCTCGTCTAATTTTAAACCACTCTCCCGAACGAAGAACTCAATAAGCGAGCGTCCCACTTCCACCGGTGACAATTGCAATTATATCAAGCATCCTCGATAAACCGGATTAGATCCTACCTCCGTTTCGACCCACCGCTCCCTTAGCTCGCCAATTTATCCCCGCCGCGCCGCAGACATGCCCCACTTGCGTTACCCGCTGCTCAGACGGGGACGTCCCAATGACCCAGTAACGAATGCATTTTTCTTGGTAGAATTATCGCAAGCCCACGCCACGCCACACCCCGCGCGCAACGCCTCCAACCCCTCGGCTTCGAGTGCAATCGATGTAAGGCGCCGCCGGGAAATGGACGAGTTGCGGAAACGGTGATTTGTTCGTCGTGACCTGCGTCCCAACAGGATCTCTATCCTACTGTGCTAAGGAAAAACGCCGTATGAACATTCGAGAGTTGCCAAATTTCCTTTGATAAAATGTTCATTTTTAGGAAAATTATGAATATATTTCCTTGACATTTTCAGGAACTTTGGGTCAAAATACGAACAAAATTCTCTGAAAAATTGGAAGAAAAATATTCACAAATTTACCAGGGGATCTGTGTTTTATCAAAGACAATTTGGCAACGCCTAAAGGTTCATACGGCGTTTTTCCTTAGCACGGCAGTATCCTACCGTGATATGCTGCCGTGCAGTACTCCCATTCCATGTCCGTTAAAAGTTCCGGGATCCGGAACTTTTTTGTTCAAATTTCTCCCACTCCGTGACCGTCAAATGTTCCAGGATTCCTCTTATATGTTTTAAACTTTGTGAATTTTTCATTTTACCAGGTTGATAAATGAGTATTACCTGATTTATTTATTTTTTCTTCCTGGTTGTTTTGTGGTTCTCTTCCTTCAGGCTATGTACATTTCGGAATATACCTATTCCATCTTCAGGCCACTTCACCACTTTACTAGCACTATAGTGCGCGTTCGATATACGATAAACTTAGAATGTTAAAACACTTAGAAGTTAAAAAACCGGAAAATAAAAATTAAAAATTACGCATAGACTAAAAAGACTGCACGAGGCGCGACCGATCACTGATTACTTGATCTTTCCTCCTCGGCTCTTGTCCACGGGGCTAAGGAACGTGGCATTATCCAAGCCCATGATACCTTAGCCCATAGCCCATATTCCTTAGCCCCGTGGACAAGAGCCGAGGAGGAAAGATCAAGTAATCAGTGATCGGTCGCGCCTCGTGCAGTCTTTTTAGTCTATGCGTAATTTTTAATTTTTATTTTCCGGTTTTTTAACTTTTAAGTGTTTTAACAGTCTAAGTTTATCGTATATCGAACGCGCACTATAGTGCTAGTAAAGTGGTGAAGTGGCCTGAAGATGGAATAGGTATATTCCGAAATGTACATAGCCTGAAGGAAGAGAAGCACAAAACAACCAGGAAGAAAAAATAAATGAATCAGGTAATACCCTTTTATATGTTTTCAAAAGTTCCAAGAGAGTACCGGAAAATCCAAAAGATCCGGAACAATTCGGGAATTTCATAATTCCGGAAAAATTTCAGGAAAATCTTAGAAGTTCCGAAATTCGGGACTAGTTCGAAATGGGAGCACTGCTGCCGTGCTAAGGGAAAACGCCGTGTATGAGCCTTGTCAAGTTCCCTTCGATAAAATCCGAAATTACTGTGAAATTAGTGAATATTTCTTGGCACAGGCGCCTGCAAACCTAACAGGGATACTTCACGCATTGCGTAATGCGTGAGGTATCCCTGTTAGGTTTGTAGGCGCCAATGCGCGTGTCACGCTGGTCGCCGTTGCCCGCACGGCGTTTCAAGCAACTATTTCACCACAGAGGTGTTGCACGGTATCATACGAAATTGAAGGCGCTCCAACATTTTAAGAATGACAGACATCCTTTATGAGTATGGAGCTTTCCTCTCGCAAGATAAATCAAGATACTACGGCTAAAAAGAGAGCGGTAGCCTAAAAACTCACCAAGTCCTAGCATCTGTATTTAACAACGTTTAGCATAATTTTTGAATTTTTCTAGAGAAAAAAGTGACTCAGTTTTGGCAGAAAAACCCTTGAGTATGCCGTCAAGAAGATTTTATTTTGAATCAAGAATTAACTAGCTGAATGAAAGCGGGCTCCTTGATGTGACTCCCCTTTTTATATAAGCACATTTTCTTCTTTAAATCAGCATTTTTCTCTTTATTGATTCATAAGGAAATCCTCTCGGCGGTAAATTCGAGCATTTTTCTGCTTGAATCAAGTCACCTCTTCCTCTGATGAAGTTCAAGAATCATGCTAAACGTCATTGAACACAGATACTGAGACTTGGTGAGTTTTTCGACTACCGCTCACAAAGGGGAACCAAGCCACATCCGCAATTGCCTTTAATTTGGCAATTTAATTTTTGAAAACGGCCGTGCGGAGTTTTGAATTCATTTTGGTGAATTTTATGCTTCGCACGGAGCAAATTCTATGAAATTTTCAAAGGAATCCGCAAAAACGTTCTCTTATAAGAAATTAGTTTTCCCCCTCAACTTCTGCAACGGCTGATGTGGCTTGGTTCCTCTCTGCAAAGCGCGGTCCAACTCATCTTCAAACTCTCCCACTTCATTGTTTTGTAAGAATACAAAGCAACCCTCTTTATTCCCTCAAGTGCGTGAAAATCTTGTCCTCTCAAAGTCGACACCGAGGTGCACAGTTCTCTTCTTCTCATAACTCAGTTATTATGTTGCAAAACACTCTCGAAATTTTAAGAGGTTTACAACTTTGCGGACGAGAGATTCGCCGATTTCTATCAGTCTCTATGTGATGGGCTGCTCATTGTTTGTTAGATTGTTTCCCAGAGCGCTTTAAGTCACAGATTGTCATCCCTACTTCCCGCCAGGAAAAGAAAGGATTTTTTTCTACTCCGTGCGGTTGAAGAGTTTTGTTTTCGTTCGTTTCAAAAAGGGTCAAAACTTTCCGAGAGGGTACTCGAACAAAGAGTCAAAACTCGCTGTAAATTAGCGAACTTGCTACGAAGAAGCTCACGAAGGTTGTGAAGGAGAAATTTAGTTGTATATAGTAGAATTTAGCAGGTAGTCTTATTGGACTATTTCTGCCGAACGGCACTACAGACGAGTGGGAAAGATGGGGTGTGCCGGACAAACCTTTCAATTTGCCTCAGCTAAAGGCTCTTAAATTGTTCCTGTGTATGATAACTCCGTGACAGCGTCGGCGTGCCGCGGCACTACGAGATACTATTTCGAAACAGAGATGTTGCACAGTATCATACAGGATCGAAGGCACCCCACCGTAACATGATTGATGGTAACTTTTATAAGCACGAAGTTCCCTTGCAAATTAAATCGAGTAACAACGACAAAAAGAGAGCGGTAGTCGAAAAACTCACCAAGTCCCAGTATCTATGTTCAATAACGTTTAGCATGATTCTTGAACTTCATCAGAGGAAGAGGTGACTTGATTCAAGCAGAAAAATGCTCGAATTTACCGCCGAGAAGATTTCCTTATGAATCAATAAAGAGAAAAATGCTGATTTAAAGAAGAAAATGTGCTTATATAAAAAGGGGAGTCACATCAAGGAGCCCGCTTTCATGCGGCTAGTTTATTCTTGATTCAAAATAAAATCTTCTTGACGGCATGCTCAAGGATGTTTCTACCTAAATCGAGTCACTTTTTTCTCTAATGACATTCAAAAATTATGCTAAACGTAGTTAAATGCAGATGCAAGGACTTGGTGAGTTTTTAGGCTACCGCTCTCTTTGTATGCCGTAGTATCTTGATTTATCTTGCGAGGAAAGCTCTGTACTCTTGAAGGATGTCTGTCATTCTTAAAATGTTGGAGCGCCTTCAATTTCGTATGATACCGTGCAACACCTCTGTGGTGAAATAGTTGCTTGAAACGCCGTGCCGCGGCGGGCAACGGCGACCAGCGTGACACGCGAATTGGCGCCTACAAACCTAACAGGGATACCTCACGCATTGCGCAATGCGTGAGGTATCCCTGTTAGGTTTGTAGGCGCCGATGCGCGTGCCGCTTCGCTCTGTTTGGCTCTAATATTTAAACTCGCGGAGTCAACATTTTTAAATCTCCAACCTTTTTTTAAATGAAGCAATATTTGCATTTAAAAAAGTGGTGTATATAAGGTATATTTTAAATCGAAAATTTTAAGAATAGAAATACACCCAAATATCCACCAATGACAATTTGAGAAGATGAATCAAAAGAAGAAAGTAACATTTCGTTGAAAAAATGAGTTACAATAACAACACCTCCTTTCCTCTCAATTTTCTCATTTCGGTATTGTCAACATAATTTTACATACGGACTAAAATATAACGCTTGGACCAAGCCCCTGTTGCTTATTTTACGCTTGGAGGTAAACTACTGGACAAGACAGGTGTGCAGACAAAAAATCGTTGACGGAATGTCTTGATACCTAAATTTCACAAAACTTGAAATTTGTTAATTTTTATCGGAATCATTCCTTAAACCTGCGGAAGTCCGGAAAGCATTTCAGCTGGTCTTCCTGTTGATGCGCTAGTATTATGCTACCCTACGGAGGTGCTAAACAAGGAGGGGGCACAAAGGGGAGTTTAGAGAGAAAACCCCCAACCTAACTTCTAAACTTTACGAAAACATTTCCAACGCGTGAATGTTTTAAGCTTTGAGTTAAAAATATCAAAATCGAGATTCACTGTGTTTAGACGTTTCTTGGCCTCCTGAATGCATCCCCAAGAGTTTTAAAAAATTTCATGGAATTTTGTGGAATTTTACGCACATTAATTTAACGAAATTTTCCCTGTTAGTAAATATCGAAGGTGAAACTACCAGACCACGTATCTCGGTTTGCGACTTTGTAGACTTCCTGCCATATTTTATTTGTTAAATGGAAAACTATTCATCGTCAATCCTTGAAAACCTGGGTGTATTTTCTTGGATATGCGGAGAAAACTCTGTGAAAATTTCAAGAAAATATATTTATTTGTTCAACTTGAGAAAAATAAAATGGGAGTGGAGATTTTTAAACATGGGAAACGAGATAGGTGATCTGGTAATTTTGGTGTATTTTTCTCTCATTTGAATGGTGAATAATCCTGGAATTTAAATTGCAGGCACCTAGCTACATGAGTGGGTGGTGAGGAAGCGAACGACTGTCGACTCTTTTTACTTCATTTCTTGAAAGCAAACGCGCACGCAGCCTAGGTATGACTGAATAGTTTACTTCCTTTGTTATGATAAATGATCAAACAAGGCTTTGTTAATAGTGTCGAATATATTTTCGTTTCAGTCCCCCCTCCCTGGTTCTTTTCGTATTTTTATTTTTGTTGTTGTTGTTATTATGATCTCTCCTCCTTTTTTATCAGTCAAAGTTTATTTTTTTTAACGCTTCATTTTGAATCGGTGAGTTTACCTTTAATCTAAGATCTCTATGTCTTCAAATCTCAATCTGTTTGTAATGACTTATTTTTTTATCGCTCTCTATCATTGTAAGTACTAAGTTGCCGAGCTAAGGAAGAACGCCGGATGAACCTTCGAGAGTTGCCAAATTTCTCTTGATAAAACATGTATTTTTAGCAACATTCAGGCGTATTTTTTCTTGATATTTTCTGATATTTTAGATTAAATTGCGTACAAAATTGTCTGACAATTTTGGAAAATAATATTTGCAATTTTCCTAGTTAATTAGGTTTTTATCGGAGGAAACTTGGCAACGTCTGAAGGCTCATACGGCGTTCTTCCTCAGTACGTAGTAAAGTACCCCTTATCGGATAAGATTTCTTAACAGTACTAGCTTTTATGCCCTCTCTATGAGCACTTGTGGCGTCATTCGGGAGTTTTCCACCACTTGAAATATTAAATCATCATATTTACAAGTCTCGATATAATTGAGTCCAATTTGGAATTGTTTTTGCAAGCAAAATAATCGAGGAATTTTTTTTTTTTTTTTTTTTTTTTTTTTTTTTTTTTTTTTTGCTCCAATGTAGTATTATTTTTGCAGTAGTTATTTCCGCCGATCTGCAATTTTGGGTCTCGCTCATTTAGGTTTATTAAATCGGCCTTAATTGAAGCATCCACCCAGAATCGAGCACTTACAATAGATTCTAATGGTAATACCAATTTAAGCTAATAGCCTCCGTGTTTTAAAATACAAAGCGATTTGCTGCAGAAAAAGAATTTTCCAATTTTTAATTTTGAGAATTTCGTTTGTGTTTTGCGAAAAAATAGCATCATTGATCCATGTATCTTAAATCATGTTTGTCGAGCGATTTTGCTTGCATTGCAGTCTAAAAAAAATTAATACAGACCCTCATTTTATAACAAAATAGAAGTGAACCGCCTTTTTCTAGGTTCATTTTTTCCAAGAACAAGTTTAAGTTATCTTTAATTCGATTCTACGCTTGGTTTCGTAGCTTTTGAGGAGTGAGACATCTTCATAACCTTTTAAAGTTTTGGGCAAGAATAGTGCGAGGCAAAAAACTTCCTTATGACGTCATCAAGGATCGGGCATGCTAGTGTATTCGTCCTGTTCCTCTATTTTTCGTGTAAAAAGACAGAATTTAAGAGGGGGAAAACTGTATGTTTTTCGTGCTTCACTTTGATCAATATTCTTTCTTGTGCCTAGGAATAAGCGGAAAAATCACCACGATAGGGACTAATTTTATGATGACTGAACTTCTGTATCTTGATGGCTGCGGATCATAATGTTCCTCCTATTTTTTTCCGAATCAGCATTCTGAAGAAACTCTAAAATCCTCCGCTTCCAAGATAATTGATTTCTGGAATTCCCGTCGAAGTTCCAATCGGAGCACCTCGCAACCGGTGGCGTTCGTGATTTGCGATTTATCGATTTATCTGCCATTGAAAACTATGAAAAAGGATCGATTTACAAGGTGTTCGCGCCGAGCACCTTGATAATCGATTCTTTACCATAGATTCAAATTCGGAATTATCGATAATCGATGGGACGCTCGCAACGTGTTGCGTCATGAATGAGGCGGGAGCCGCGAACGGGGAAATCCTCTCCAGGAATCAAGAAAGTTCCCGCTCCTTGGACCATTCATCACGTGCCCGCTCAATGGTGGGAATTCTGCGGAGAACTTTCCGCGCCAAAGTTCGAGTCGTGGAAACTTTCGAGATTAAGGACTTAATTAAAAAGGCGAAAACTGAAATAGCAGGTGCCGCGGCCGGGGACGAAGGGCTCCTCGCGACAATGAGCAGGACGCGGATTAAAAGAAGACGTTCCGCCCCCCCCCCCCCCCCCCCCNCCCACCCCTGCCAAGTTTAGACGATTCCGACACTTTCAGCTCAATCAGCCTCGCCGTTTCAGCACTATAGTACGTCAGGGAGTCAGGCGAAAAGGCCAAACACGTGGAGAAAATCAAACAACGGATGCCCCGATGACGTCATGAATGGGTGCCACTATGGCGTCATCAATGGGTGATCCGATGACGTCAGAGTCATTCCCGGGTGTCGCCATCGGGTGACGTCATCGGGTTCTTACCTGCAATCAGTCTCTCGGTTTCAGGATCATCATACGTCAGGGAATCAGGCGAAAAGGCCAAACACGTGGAGAAAATCAAACAACGGATGCCCCGATGACGTCATCAATGGGTGTCGCGATGACATCATTAAAAACGTCAGAGTCATCGCCGGATTAGAGTCCCTTTATACCCAGAGATAAGACAACTCGATTATCAGCTGACTGGCAGCCGGCCTTGGCTGGCCATGGAGGCCGAAACGAGTGCACCCAAACGAACGATATTGAGGGATAAGGATCAGGAATCCTGTGATGTCTGTCACACAAAAACAACAACATCAACAAATTGATCAATTAAAAAGAAAATGAGATTGGTTTGTGAATAATTTCTTAATCTATTTTCATTTTGGACCGATGGAAATAACAATTTACTCTTGATAAAGCACAATTAGGTAATATTTTCATGATTCTTGTTCACATTCGAGGTACTGCCATCTTGGTGCACTCGTTTCGGTCTCCATGAGCGAGAACCAATCAGAATTGGATTTTTTTTTAGGCCACTTTCAGCCCAACCAAAAGTGAGTTGTCTTAACTCTGGGTATAAAGGGACTCTACGCCGGATGTCGCGATGACGTCATCGGATTCTTACCTGCAATTGGCCTCACGCTCCAAGTTATTGCTCCTTTTCTTCTTCCTCCTATTCTGCCCCGCTAAGGTTAAACGCCGTATGAACGTTCGAGAGTTGCCAGATTTTCTCCGATATAATGTTTAATTTGTTAGGAAAGTTATTGATATTCTTCCTTGAAATTTTCAGATACCGTAGAGTTAATTGCGAATGAAATTCTGTGAAAAATTAGCTGAAAAATATTCGCAAGTTTTCGAGATGAATGTACATATATGTAATGTACAAGCTGCTTTTATAGCATCTCTGGCGCTCTGCGACCACTAGCCGCCAAAGCCCCTTATCCTCCCAAAGCCCTTCAGGGAGTTGGTACACCCTCATTTCTTCTAGAACCCCCTGACAAGATTTCGATATAATTCGCATTTTATCAGAGGAAACTCGGCAACGCCTGAAGGCTCATACAGCATTTTTCCTCAGCATGGCCGTATTATTCTCTATCGTTTTTGTATTCAGAGGCGACGGAGTTGGAACAGCGGGCCGATTATTGAAATTTATAAACAAAGCAATAGACAAAGAAGACTAAAGAGATATGGAGGGATGCTATTGGTAGAAGAGGGTGATTGCAATGGACAGAGGAGGTAGGTAATAGACTAAGTAACGGCAACCCACGAGAGATTCGATAGTTAGTCCATCATTTTCTCCCTTAGACTATACCTACTGCCGTGCTAAGGATGAACGCTGTATGAGCCTTCAGACATTGCCAAATTTCCGTCGATAAAAGCCGAATTCACTGGGAATATTGTAAATAGATTTCCTCAAATTTTTCAGACTATTTCGTACGCAATTTAATCTAGAATATCTGAAACTTTCAAGGAAAATATGCTTAAATTGCGTCAAAATACACGTTTTATCAGGGAAAATTCGGCAACTCTCGAATGTTTATACGGCGTTCTTCCCGAGCACGGCAGTATACCCTGGTAAAAATTGGCGATAAGAGCTGCGTTCCAAAATACCATAGGAATTCCTATAGCCGGCTAAAGAAGGCTACAGAAAATCATATAGCTGGCTGTAGAATGCGGAGAAAATCGTACGACCGGGCTATATGAAGCGATAAAAAAGTATGCAGCCGGGCTTTACACTTTATCGCCTGGCTGTTGCTTTTTCGCCATCGATTATAGAAGGCTATGAGAAATTGTGTAGAAATTCGTGTGCTTTGGAAATCATTAAGTTTGATACGGAACCACCTTAATATTTACAAAACACACATTATATTTTCCTTTAATACATACATATTTGTCTTCATCCATTAAAATGAGAATAATCCATACAGGATGTGCAAACATTTCAGAATCATGAGTGGAATAACGCTGACTCCACCAGATTAAATATTAGAGCCTAACACAAAGCGGAGCGGCGACGCACTGGCGCCTACAAACCTAACAGAGATACTTCACGCATTGCGCAACGCGTGAAGAATCCCTGTTAGGTTTGTAGGCGCCAATGCGCCGCAGCGTGCCACGGCGCTTGAAGCAACTATTTCACACCAGAGGTATTGCACAGTATCATACGAAACTGAAGGCGCTCTAATATATTAGGAATGACAGGCATCCATCAAAAGTACGGAGCTTTCCTCGCAAAATAAATCAAGATACTACGGCCCAAAAAGAGAGCGGTAGTCCAAAAACTCACCAAGTCCTAGCATCCGTAATTAGTAACGTTTAGCATACACTTTATCGCCTGGCTGTTGCTCAATCGCCGTCGGCTATAAAAGGCTATAAGAAATTGTGTAGCCGGCTATAGAAGCTATTGGAAATCTTACAGCCGGCTGTAGATCTATGGTATTTTGGAACACAGATTCTACTGCCAATTTTTACCAGGGTGGGAACCACCCATTTCAACCAATAGGATAGCTCCATATTCCCTATGTCTTCCTTGTCCATTGCTTTGTCTATCAATTCCAATAATCGGCCCGCTGTCAGGGTGAAGTCTATCTATTAACGACCCCCGAAGAAAACCCACCGCGCAACGATGTCCGAGGGACACTATTTACTTCTACCGACAGAGCAAGGTCAACAAAGGTGCGGCGTTGCCAGAAACGCATTTCCGCGGATCCGCTTGTATCGGCCGGAGCTTAGCACGGAGCGTAGATGCGGCAACAGGGCCTCGGCAATCCGATCGGAGCCCCAAGTATCAATTACAGGACAGTGGACGAGGAGGGGGTGTTTTCACCCCTCGCCCGGCTCCTGGCTTTCCAGGTTGTCTCATAAAACTCGGATATTTCACATGGGTTTAGATGGGGGGAGGCTGGTTTTTCAGCACGATCTGGCAACAATGCCCGGCTCCCACTGAGATTCCCGCCGAGTGGAAATTGAGACCCGAGCGTGTGGGCGGACCTTCCCCAAGTTCTGCCCCGCTGGGATAGAAGCGCGTATCTCCCAATGAGACCCAGTGTCGGTTACGTTGTTTTTGATCCG